TTATTTATTTTCATTTCTTTTTATTTATTTTTTTTTCTCTAAAAGTAGAAAAATAGAAAATTTTACTTAAATACACTCTAAAAGTGGTCACATTCAAAAATTTAATTTTTTATATATGTATATATTATATATATGTACATACAATATATAAAATAAAATAATAGATAAATAAATTAAAAATTCATATAGTTGAGTTCGCATAATATATTTCTATTATTTTAATTATTCAAATGAATATGCATATTATTTTAATTACTAGAATAAATAATGTATATGTATATTATATATAGTTTCTCTTTTCTCTCTCTCTCTCTCTCTCTCTCTCTCTCTCTCTCTCTCTCTCTCTCTCTCTCTCTCTCTCTCTCTCTCTCTCTCTCTCTCTCTCTCTCTCTCTCTCTCTCTCTCTCTCTCTCTCTCACACACACACACACACATCTCTCTATCCTTCTCTATCTCTCTTTTTCTGATAAAATGAACGGAAACAGGAAAAAGTAAATCACGATATAAATATTATTTATTACGTGCGAATCATGAATCGGGAAAAGGAACGATTAATAAAATTAGAATCTTACTTTCGAGTTTTGAGAAGGAAGCAGGTGTGGTTGCATCGATCAAAGCTAACGTCAGGTGCTTCAAAGCTGCATCGAAGTCAGCGTGGACCTTCAACATCAACCCAAGCCTTAGGTGAACCTCGCAGGCTCGTGGAAAACTTGGTTCCACCCATAGCACCTGCTGGAAGGCTTTCACCGCCCTTGAAACACAAGGAAAAAAAAGGAATCGATCAAGTTAAAATCAAATTACATATATTGTATATATATATATATAAATTAATCAGTGAGATTAATTGACGTATTATTATCTCGTTAATTGATTTAATATTTAATCATTGTTTTTATGTAAAAAAGAAAAAAGATAGACAGATACACAGACAGACAGATAGACACACATAAACACACATACTTTAATCTTAATCATAAATTATATAAAGATTGTATTATTGTAGGATGCGGGTCAAAAATTCTTAAGTGATTTTTAAGAATCAATTAACTCTTTCTCAGGACTTCTTTTCAGGTCAATAATTTTTTCCCCAATTCTTTTTTTTTTTTTCCCTAATCACAAAGCCTCCAAGAATATTTTTCCCGATCTACTGTAACATTAACAGGAGTATCATTTAAAGGGACGTATTTTAAATAAATAAATAAATAAAAATAAAAGTAAATTATTAAATTCCGAGAATTTAATAATTTTCGTAGAATAAATGAAAAATTTTGTTCGTTGTAATGACCTCGAAATAAAAATCGAGTAGGCTGCTTGATTGGTTGGTTAGTTGGTTGGTTGGTAGTGTGTAGGTTCGTCGAGGCCTCGATTTGTCGTCGATTATCGCGATAGTTGCATACGAAATGTGCATACGCGTGCGTGACACATTCTGGCGTTTCGTTTCACCTTCAAAGGAAGGTCTAGTTATAACGTGAGTGATTTTAATCGCTGCGATAATTAACACTCGTTTTATCGAACTTTTATCGAACCACATTTATTTTAATTTCATGAATATGGGTAACTCAAAAAAGTTTACATAGGTGACATTAAAAATTAGGAGAGAGTTTTTAAGACGATTCTCTCTTTTTTTCTTTTTTCTTATGCAAATTTTTAGCTCACCTAGAAGTTGGTGTGTTCCAATCTATATTAAAAAATTAAACAATTTCATCGAATAAGTTAAAAAAATAAAACGGATAGAGAGAGAGAGAGAGAGAGAAAGAGAGAGAACTTAGAATGGGTTATTGAACGATCAATAAAAGAAAAAGAAGTGAGAGGAAGAAAAAAAAAAAAGAAAAAAAGAGAATTGGCGACGGTAGTAAATTCATTCATTCATAAGAATTCCATTCATTGGGCCGTTCACTCGACGTTTCCTTTTCGGGGTTCGTTGTCTTCAAGGAATGAGTCACTCTGGTACACTCGAGGAAACTTTGGTGGAGTGTGTAGGAGTAGAACACAAAAGTGAACGAAGAACGAGCAAATGTCAGTGGCTCGTTGCGAAAGATCCTAATAATAAACGGACCGTGAGAAAGTATATGTTCGTATATACATACATACATACATATATATATATATACATATATATATATATATGTAGTAATAATATATCCGCTCGTATATGCATCATAATACAGATTCATATGCATATTCATCTTTAAAATGTAAATATATATTTAAAGACAGTTCTCTGTTAAAGCTCTTGTAATTGTACAATCTGCAAAAGAGAAGAAAAAGAACAGAGAGCAAAAAAAAAAAAATAGAGAAAGAAAAAGAAGAATTAGCTTAAAAATTATCGGCAGAGAGCAAATAGATTTCTTCAAAAAAGAAAAAAAAAAAAAAAAAGAAAAACATCCAAAGAACTTTTTTTGGCACACCCTATAGAAATATATTTGTAGAAATTATTACACCAAGGTTGTAGTTTTCGTCCTATGCATGTGTGTGCACAGATAAGCCACTTTAATTTCTTGTCTCTCGTGTATCCTTTTTTCTTTATTTTTTTTTTTTTTGTTCATTTTATCGTAAAACGCGATAAAATGGCGCACATAAATACATCATACATACATACATACATACATACATACATACATACATACATACATACATACATACATACATATATATATATATATATATATTCATATATATTCATATATATATATAATATATATATGTGTGTGTGTGTGTGTGTGTGTGTGTGTGTGTGTGTGTGTGTGTATATATATATGTGTGTGTGTGTATATATTGATAGAGAGAGAGAAAAAAAGAATATAATCGTAGATATATGTACATATATACCTGAGTCTGTGTATAATTTCATATATGTAATAGTAAGTAGACTTTTCACACGTCGAGGACAGAACGAAATACGAGGTCTGGCGCGTTGTTAAAATATTTCAAGGAGAGCAAATAATCGTTGCTATTATCGTACACATTTATTGGCGAAAATATATTGTCATCTGTTTCAGAAATATAATAGTATAAATATATATACATATATACATACACGCATAATTTTGAAAGTGAAGATAAACGTGACCTGCCACAAAGCTGATGAAACAATGTGGTAAATGTGAGAATAACAAGGAGACATTTTAACAGCTGTTCAACAGTAGCCATTTTGCTTTTTATTAATATCACATTACGCATGTATCCTATCTGCTTGTTTATATACATGTGTATATGTATATATAAATATAAAACTTAGATTAGATAAAATATGAATAATCTTCGGACATTAATTTTGTATGTTTTTTTTTGACTCTCAAACACTTTTATTACAGAGAAAATTATATATATATATATATATATATATAAAGACGGACAAAGAAGAAATTTTTAATATTAACAAAAATAAAATTAAAAAAAGGGTGATTTGAACCAACTTCGTGAATGAAAATAACATTTTTAATATTAAAAAAGAAAGAAGGAAAATATCACGTGTGACTAATAATTGAAATATTCTTAATTAAAACCAACTTCGAGGATAACGGATATTTGAAATTTGCCGCCATTAATCGGTGATGACGTATGAGTCATGTGTTTGACTTCTCGCTTACGGACGCGTCGTATTTTCTCCGTAGAGTTGCATGATCCAACGAAAAGGGGGTGCATTTTAATGCACCCTTTCTCTCTCTCTCTCTCTCTCTCTTTCTCTCTCTCTTCCTCTCTCTCTCGCTTTCTCTCGGAGCCACGAGGCCGCTTTAGCACCTCATAAATTAATTACGAGACCGAGTGTATGACCTATTAACGAGCGTTTTGTCCTTAACGTCTCGCACGAACGACCGAGAGATAACGATAGGGCCAACCAAACGCATTCACACACCTTTTCCTTAGCCCTTCGAACCCTTTTACTTGATATATCCGTGTGTACCTCTTATTAACACATACACTAAACACTAAAGAAAAAAAAAAATAAGTCACTACCTACTACTACTACTGTGTCCAAACCGGAAAGGAATAACTCTGTTCGTTTCGGTTTCTTCTTTTTCTGAATTTTATCGTTCCTGAATCTACCCGTAACCATTTAAGAAGTTGAAAGGGGTGATCGTACGATATTAACCAAAGGTTAAACGTTTACAATACATGTATTATTTCCGCCATCTTTCATCATCGTTTATCGTCTCTCCCCTTGTCTTCATATATGTATATATATATAAATATGTATGCATTTCTTGGAATCATTTTTAACAGAGAATTTTCTCTTTTATTTTGACTTCTTTTTAATTCCCTTCTTGCGATTTGATACCATGACGTGTTAACGTTTTTGCTTTTCTTCTTTCTATTTTTTTTTTTTTTGGAAGAAAATACTATAAAAAAAAAGAATATTTAAAAATTGTACCGTTTTAATTTGTATGATTATTTTTTTTCGTTAGCTCGACAGGTCTACGTAATTTATGATGACGTGATATTGTTTTTTCTTACACAAAAAAAAAAAGAAAGGAAGAAAAAAGAAAAGATGGCTGCACAATTTATTTATTTATTTGTTTGTTTATTTTATTTCATTTTATTTCTTTTCTTTTCTTTTTTTAGGATAAAAAATTTCTCTAGAAGAGTAGAAAAAACTCATCCATTCTTAAAGCGATCTTTCTCAAATGTAATTTCGTTATCTTCGAGTTAGCCATGGCATACCAATAGCATGGTATGGTATTGTATGGTATAATATGGCGTCGGCGCGTGCATGGCCACGCGACTGACTTTCTCTTCTCGAATCTCATTTTATACCCATGAGAATTTACCTTCTACGGTAGGAAATTATCGTTCGTATTATACGATATTTAAACATATCCATATATAAGTATATACATATACATAAACATATGTACATATAATTTTCTGTAATACAAATTCAATAATTGATATTACAAACGCCATAGAAATACTTTTGGAACAAACGAAATTTACAAATGAAATTAAAAAAGAAAAAAAAAAAAAGAATTCATATTCTTTCAAAAACAAAAATAAACAAGCAACAGAATAAAAAAAAAAAAGAGAGAAGATAAAGAAGAAGTATAAAATAAAGTGTAAATAAGTTCAACGAGAAGTTTTCAAATATGACGCACCCGTATATAGCATTTGGAACTTACTACATAATTTTAAATTCCACTGTTTATTTATTTATTCATTTATTTATTTATTTATTTATTTATTTATTTATTTATTTATTTATTTATTTAATGGTACATAAGGATACGTGTTAGATATATATATAGTTTGTTTTAATTCGGTTATTAACACACAACGTTGGAAAAGATGCGTGGGTAGCAAGACTCGATGTTGTATATCCTTGCCAGGCAAGAATCTCCAGTATATATTATTGTGCAAGAAAGTTGGTTGCAACGGTGCCTGCTGACAAGGCTACACAGGTAAACACGAGATTCTATGACTCCGTTGTCTCTAGCAGAAATCTTTGATATTAGATATCCGTCGTGCACACGCTTCGAATGATTTATTAGCCAAGTCTCAAGATAATCGTCGACCTATCTCTTTCTCTCTCTCCCATACAAATTCCCTCACTCCTCATTCCATCTCATATCCCTATTACAATTCTTGTCTCTTTTGTCTTTAAGCTACCTATTTCATCGAGATATTCTATTCCAAGAGTTCGTATAAATTATAAAAACAAATATTTCTTCTTCATCTTTTTATTTTTGTTTAACAATTAAATTCGTATATCTTTATTATTAACAATTCGTATATAATACGTTGTATATAACACGTAACATACATACATACATATATACATATACATTGCATAACTATGTACGTATACATTTATGTATACATAGGATAGTTGAAGAAAAGTGAGGTTATGTTTTTTAGTCTTGTGTTCCTTGCTTCTTAGCATGTCTCTCATGCTATACACATCTTACGATAGAATCGGACAATGGCGCCTATATCGTCATTGTATACGTGCATGCATGCATGCTTGTGTGCGTTTGTACGTATATAAATGCATACATGTACACCTACCGACATACACATACCACATAGACACTTATCATGTATGAAATATGTATGTATGTATGCATGTATGTATGCATTAGACGCATAGCAACACAGGAAGTCAGTCAGAACGACAGTCGACTAACAATTTCCTAGTGACCCACATTGCACTCTCGTCGCCCCACGTTTAACGCCCACGCGTTCATCAGGCAGCTCTGCTGCTGTTGCTGCTGTTATTGCAGTTACCTTGCTGGTTTGTGGTATTACTGTTATATCTCCGTGTTGCTCTTTGAGACCAAAGTTTTCACTTTATCTTTTATAAACGTTTACGAGTCGTAATAAAGTCTAATAATGGATTACGAAAAGTTCCTTAGTTATTTATTTTCTTTTTGGTTCTTTTCTTTTTTCACTAGCGTAAAAATTACAACTCAAATCTATATTTATACACACACACATATATATATATATATATATGTGTGTGTGTGTGTTGAGTTATTAAGAGGTTTCGTTCAACTCGCCATATAATTTGTTTCAATTGATACTTCATTTGTTGAAAACAATTTTATTTGTTAAAAAATTTTTTTTTTCTTTTTATGTAATTTATCTAATATATAGATGCATATACATACATATATATATATATATATATATATATATATATATTCTTTCATTAGAACTTTTTCAAAATACCGGTCTTACTGGATTATGTTGCAAAATAGGTAATACATACACATACGTGCGAATGCGAAAGATTACATCTACTCGTCGAGGAATGACCAGTCATTGCAGCATGACCTCTGATCCTTTGCACGTGCAATGCTAGAGAGATCTCTCAGAGGCTCGGACAAAGATCAAGATACTACGACAAGAAAAAGAAAACGTTCACTTTTCATCCTCTCTCTCTCTCTCTCTCTCTCTCTCTCTCTCTCTCTCTCTCTCTCTCTTTCTCTCTCTCTCTCTTTTTCATTTTTTTTTCTTTTTTTTCATTACATTACGTTGCAATCATTAGAAATGTCATTGCGATTATCAAACCACAAATACGTATACGACGTATTACATACATATGTTAATATCAAGTTATTTTACGATATAATTTGGGTATTATTATTTTTTGATTAATTTGGAAATGCATAATGTCGACATTATTTCAACTATAATGATGATATTGAAAGAAAAAAGTGTTCATAAAAAAAAAGAAAAAAAGAAAAGAAAAGAAAAGAAAAGAAAAAGAAAAAAGAAAAGAAAAAACTGTATATATATGTGTGAGTAAGAGGAGACAGGATGAGACATACAAGAAGTATAGCGACGAATGCACGTGCCGTTTACAGACGTTACACCTGCATCGAAAAGACGACCCACCTGCAAAACGACACCGATCGGCCTTTTTCGCGCGTTATAAAAATTCTACGATAAATATTTTTTTCTCCCCCTTTGTTTTTTTTTTTTGTTTATTTCATTTTTTCTATCCTTTCGCACAGGGATGATGTGAAAATAAATAAATAAATAAATGAAATGAAATAAATTGAATTGAAATGAAATGAAATTATTTGTAAATAAATCAAAAAGGAAAAGAATCATATATTTGTATTCAGTGAAATCCCCAAAAAAATTTACTGGGATACACTTTATAACATTCTTTTTTATTAATAATGTTTGTCTTGCGAAATATATATGTAAGAAAAGAAGTATGGAAAATAATCAAATTAAGTCAATGCATAGAGGAGAGGTGTATAAAAGAGCACGTGATTGCGCGAAATGGGACAGATGCGTTTCACCTTTGTAGCACGCGCCATATGCAGGTGCAACTGCAAACGGCCCGAGAACTCGAACTAAATCTTGTCGGACAGCCTGTTTGTTCTCTCTCTCTCTCTCTCTCTCATATTCTCTCTCTTTCTTCCTTCGCTTTTTCAAAGCGATTAAAATCGATCGGATCGGATAGGACCGGATCGATACATTTATCCACGCTCACCGAGATCGTGATAATAATCAGAGATATAAATAATAAAAATTTTAATTTTGCATAATATTGTCGGTAAAAATTTTAACGTCATATTCTAAATTGAAACAAATTCTACGATACTACTTTAATTTATTTGATTAATCATATGCTTATTTCAAACACATGGTTTACGATAAATCGTAAAAATTATCGAATAAAAATCAAATTGAATAAAGTAGATCTATTTAATTAATCTAAATCTAACATAATCTTTTATTTATTAATAATGTGAAATTACTTATAAACGATTGATTTGTGATGTGCGAAAAATTCGAAAAAATGGCGGGAAAAAATGGACATCCAACGTGAAAGATGTGCCATCTATCCTCTCTCTCTCTCTCTCTCTTTCTCTCTCTCTCTCTCTCTCTCTCTCTCTCTCTTTCTCTCTCTCTCTCTCTCTCTCTCTCTCTCTCTCTTTCTCTCTCTCTCTCTCTCTCTCTCTCTCTCTCTTTCTCTCTGTCTCTTCAACACAATGATGTTTATCGTAAAAGCTCTTAAAGCTAGAACGTAAGACACACGATAGCGCATCTTCTTGGCGATAAAAGCTTTAAACGGTGCGTTCACTTTGGTATCCCGTCGAGCGCAGTAGCGCAATGTGAAAGACGAAGAAGAAGACGAAAGATAAAAAGAAGAAGAAGAAGAAGAAGAAGATGAAAAAAAAGAAGAAAAAGAAGAAGTTCTTCCTTACATGGATTTTTAATGGGGAAAAAGAGCTGTACGGTGGTCGCGTGCCAAAGTTAATACTTGTTTGAGTATCAAGAAGTGTTAGTATGTCTGAACGATACACCTGTCCACCATCTTGGTCGGCCGATCTTAAAGTACAAGAAACAAGGCCCAACGATGAGGGCCCAACTAAAAGTAAAGAGAAAGGGAAGAGAAAGAGTGAGAGAGAAAGGATGAGTATTGTACGGAAGACAGGATGTGGGCAGCTGTTTACCAGCTGGAGGATGATACCTTAGTGTGTGCTTACGAAATAAATTCATGGGCCTTACGGGCCCCGTCTGTCGACCGCGAATATGTCTGAGAGTAAGTCTCATACAAACGTATTCCATCTCGTCTTTTCCATAAAAATTGCGTGCGATTCTTTCTTTGTAAGAAATCGTGAGAACGTTCTATTTAAATTTGTGGTTAGGATTGTCCTTATGGGGAGAGACAAAACATATGTTGCGAATTTTAAATAGGATTGGCTATTGTTAAAAATCACCTGTACGGAAGAATATTATTTTGTCAAGAAAAAAAAAAAAAAAAAAAAAAAGAAATAAGAAAAAGAAAAAAAAATGTGAGATATTGCTTAAGAATAATAATTTAATCGGTCGTTATAAACTTAGTATTTTTACAGAGGGGGAAAAAATGAATGGCAAACAATAAAGAGATTAAAAAACATTGAAACTAAACTCGACAAGGTTAAGCAACTAATAAGGAAAAAAAAAAAAAAAAAAAAAAGAAAAGAAAAAATCGTATCGTCGTTTCATAAAAAACGGGATTTACGAGAGTAAACAAAAGCGAGTTCAGTTGTCCTCGTACGACGAGCGTCACTGTCAGTCGTAGTTGGACTGAATCGTAACGGCACTTTGTTCTCAAGAGAACAAAGCGATCTCGAATAGCTCGACTGGTATATGCATGTATTACACATGAGATAACGTTCGATCGCATTTCCCGCTTGTTTTCCTCGTTATCGATGCGTCTCTTTCTTTCTTTCTTTGCATAACAAAGAATAATATATTAAACTTACAAAAAAAAAATAATAAAAAAGAAAGAAAGAAAGAAAGAAAGAAAATTAGTAACAATCAGAGAAATAATTTGTTTTTTGTTTTTTCAAATAAGTCAACATGATATATGTACATGTAAAAGAAAAAATAAATAAATAAATAAATAAAAAAAAAAAAAAAAAAAATTAATTAGGCGGTCATTATATCATATTATCACGTGAGAAATCTTAGATAGATCACATGACTTTTTTGCGAAATATGGCGTCCAATATAAAAAAAATGGGAAAGAAACAGGAGTATGGTATATAGAGGATAGGGAAAAAAGTTAGGGAAGTATTCGTACTATCCGTTTTGTCGTCTCAAGGTCGTGATTCCCTAGCTTCTTTCATTCTTAGGCCCTTCCTTTCCTTTCCTTTCCTTTCCTTTTCTTTTCTTTTCTTTTCTTTTCTTTTCTTTTCTTTTTTTTTTATCGGAAAGGGCGAACGTATAATAAAAGAAGGGACCGATTTCGTCTCGCGTGAGAGTCCATCTTAAGTCGATCGAGAAGAATCGGTTAGATGGATTCTGATCAAAAAAGGGAAGAGGAATGGAACGTAAAAGTAAAAGAAGAAAAAGACGAAGACGTAGACGTAGACGAAGACGACGAAGACGAAGACGAAGAAAAGAAAAAGAAAAAAAGAAATGAGTGGGGGAGGTTAGAGGGACGATGGAAGCGAACAAAAACTTAACTAGAAGAGCTCCACTTTGTAAAGGGAACTTTTCTAAAATCCTATGGTAAATGGCGTCTTTGGTACGGCCGGTTTCACTCTGAAAGGTCCCAAGAAAGAATGAAACGGCCCCGTTTTATTACAGAGAAAAAAAGAGAGAGAAAGAGAGAGAGACAGACAGAATGGAAAATACATGTCTGCTCGTTTAGTTACGAGGGTGGAACCACCAAACCGAGAAGTTTCTCAAGTGGAAAAGAAGGAAATTCTTTGAGTTCCATGATTCCCCTTTTTATACTTTCTTGTGATTTTACGGCAGACGGGATATCAAATATATCCTATATATGTATATTTATATATATATATATATATATATATATATGTATATATATAGACATACATACATATATATATGTATGTATGCATTTATAGGGTGGACCAAAAAATCCTTAAACGATTTCAAAACACTACTTTAAAATTGTAATTAGGCTTGTAGTATTACGAGTGCTAGATTTGTAGTTTCATAATCTAAGAGGGAAAAACAGAGAAACAACAGGGAAAAAAAAAAAAAAAAAAAAAAAGAAAAAGAAAATCAGTCGAAAAAGCTAGGAACAAAAAGTAATTCGAACTTTTGACCCTTCCTGTGTACGTGTGTTGTAGAAATTGTTGTAGATCGTTGTTGAAATAAATTCTGAAGAAAGCGAATTAAAGTAGAAAAGTAAAATGAATGAATGGAGGAGAGGAGAGGAGAGAAGAATAGAGAAAGAGGAAGGGGAATTGTAGTTGTGTAAAAGGTAGAAAGAGAGAGAGAGAGAGAGAGAGAGAGAGAAAGAGAGAAAGAAAGAGAGAGAGAAAGAGAGAGAGAGAGGAAATGGAAGGAGAGCAGAGAGGTTTTATGGTGGGGAATCACCATCGATTTTCGTCGGTCGTGTAGGCGAAAAGCCGCGACTCTAAACCACCACCAACCGTACAGGAGAGAGACTATGATGGCCCGTTCGGCCCTTCCGCCCTTTTCCGAATTTGCCTTGCAAATTTTCAAACAGTATTCAAGATCATTGATATGTATTGTTCATCATTCGTTGACCTTTAACCGTGCTTCTTTTTCTTTTTCTTTCTTTCTTTCTTTTTTAATTAGCGAATTCCGCGACGGCCATATTGTTATCTTTCCTAACCTCTCGTGTTTAAAACTTTAAAAATTTTATTTCGTAATCGTGGAAATAAATAAAAGACTTTTCTCTTTTTGAAGCTTAAGGGATTAGATTTTAATTGTAATTATGTTACACCGATCAATTATGTTTCATAAATTCAAATTAATGTTGAGATTGACATAGTCTTTTCTCGATGCTTCGAAGAATTAAAAAAAGAAAAAAAAGAAAAAATAAATAAATAAAGAAAGAAAGAAAGAAAAAGAAGAAGAAAAATGGGAAGAAGAAAGGAAAAGTAAAATAAAATATTAAGGACTTGAATATGTGAATCCATTTGATCGAGATATTTCAAAACGTTCTCTCTGCTTTAAGAAGCGGCGCAATGTCGCGCTAGAAGAACCGGGGAAAAGGCCAAAAGAGAGAAAGAGAGAGAGACCCTTCATCAGTATAATAAAGTCGAACGCCAAGGGACGAGGATGATGTTCGTTCGACCGGAAAAATTGATATGAAAAAAAAAGGACAACGACTTTTCAACGATATATGGGAACGATTTCCAAAATAAATTTATTATACCACAAAAAGAAAAAGAAAAAAAAAGGAAAAAAAGGAAGAAAGGGAGAAAAAAACAAACAAACAAACAAACGAATGAACGAACGAACGTAATAAATTTCAAATCGGCTGCAATATCGCTCTATCGAGAATAAAATATAAACAAAAACAAAGAAAAACAAAGAAAGACAAGATTACATAAAAATAATTTCTATCGATTAAAACGGATGATTGGAAATTTTATAAAAATTGCAAGATACCGCTATAATCAAGTGGAGAAGTATCATCGACTAAAATACACTTACATCACACCAATCAATAGTGCATACATTTGGAATATATCCAAGTAACAAACGAGTAGTATACTATCATCGCTTATGCGTTTCGTAGCAAGCATGTACCGTTGCAGAGAGATCCAACCAACAGTAAAATGAGAGGGAGAGGAGGAAGAAGAGGAGTAGGAGCAGGAGGAGGAGGAAGAAGAGGAGGAGGAAGAAGGAGTGCAGAGAAGGAGAAGAAGGAGAGAATGGTCTGAATGGAATAGCGAATCGACTTTCAAGGGAAACCTCAGAGGAGACAAGTTCTCGACTATTCCCATCACTTTCCATTGTCTACTATGAATCTTGATTCTATATACGAATGTATGTGTTCCTATCTGTGTGTGTGTTTAAGAAGCATAGATACAGAGAACACTATTAGCACGTTTCTTCTCCCTCTCCATATACATATATAGAAGAGCAAAAGAAAAGAAAAGAAAAAGATCGTTTGAAAGATCGATAAGCAATCGATTTTCCAGATAGACTTTTCGAAAGGAGAATCAGAGGATGATCAAAGAGTTCGATAAGACTCCTCCGTTCGTTCATTCTCCAAGGCTATCATCGTTTATGAACCATCTTTGAGAACGCCATCGTTCTTTCGTGGTATCCATTAACATTTAACATATTAGATTATGTTGGTATGCGATAGTATACGTCACTATTAAACTCGGCTTTAACGATCGATACAAGAGTAAATTTAACATAAAATATTCAACGAACGTATGTATGTATGTATTATATATATATATATATATATATATATATATATATATATATATAAACTTTGTTGATATTTGTAAAGGCAAATTTGAGGTTAGGTTTGAATCTATTTGGGATGTGGTGTAAAATAAATGTGATGTAAAATTATATTTGATCTATCAAGAAGTTATAGGTCTATTTAAAGAGTAAATAATTAATAACATATAGGTATATTTAGAGAGTAAATAATTATTTTTAAATATCAAATAAAAATTATTTAATTATCTAACAAAAAAATACATATATATTTATTTATTCAGTACGTGTGTTTATTTAAAAATTAATATGGGTATAATGGTATCGAACCTAAATAGATTCTTTTGCTTCTTTCTTTTTCTTCTTTTTCAATCGAAAAAAAAAACAAAAAAAAAAAAGAAGAAAAACAGGAAAAGAAAGAAAAGAAAAGAGAAAAAATTTTTGAAAATGTCGAACACGTTAATCAGGTTGTTCGATTGCTCTCGTCGTTAGCACTCTCGGACGACTGTTGTCGCCGTGCTATATTCCCCTGACCATCGAGCACAAGGGTAGAACAATAAATGAGTAATGCTTCGTTTCGATTGAATAACGAGGGTCGACGAGCATCGCACGGGAAACCGGCATGCCATTCGAAGAACCCTTCTTTTATCCCTTCACCTCACGCTATCCGATTTTCACCCTACCGTATACTACGACACTACGTGAACAAAATTCACGTAATAGTCATCCGTTGTAGAAATTATTTTCACATGGAGAAGAGATTTTTCTACAGGAGCAAAGAAAAGAAAAGAAAAAGATTTAATACGACCATAATCTCTACGAATTTAAGTTAACTTAAAGGTAGAGGATTTTTTTTTTCTTTTTCATAAGACAAAAAATCTTATGGAAATAAAAATATGTCGATTGATATATCTAAAAGTTCAAAGATGTATATATATATATATTTAAAATCAATGTCAGAATGAGACAATATTCATACAAATTTCGATTTGTTAGGACAATATTTATATACAAAAAAATCTATATATATATATATGTGTTTATAAAATTAAAAAAAGGAAACAAAAAGAAAAAAAAAATGGAAGTTTAACGATAAAACTAACCTAAAAGTTTAAGAAAGTGCTGACGGTATTTTGCACCGGCTCTCTTCGAGCAGACGACTCTACTTTTATAAAACTAGAAGAGAAGTTCGCACGCACATATACCACACACTCATACTAACGGGTACACTTGTACAGGCATATACAGATTATTTTCTTTGTATGTTACACCATACATGGCATTGTAGAAATGTTGAACGCACCAGGAAAAGGGGGAAGCTAAGCAGCACGTAGAACATACTCGGTTCTGTGTACCCAGACCTCTCGCAACCCTTCTTTTTTCGAATATGCGTTCTAGAAAGAAGATAGGGAAAGAGCCGCTGAATATCCCGAGTTGGCAGATGCGAGGCGAGCATGGATGATGGGTTAAAAGGGGAGGGAGAGAGGGGGCCCCATGGGTCGTGTAGACCCCAGCCCGATTAACAATCCCCTCAATACCCCCTCTCTCTATCCTCCATCCCTTACACCACACCTTTTTTCTCTTTCGCTTTTAAACGCATCTTCCATTGCGAGAATCAGCCCCGATGCACGATTTTGCATAAATCGATACCCATGCATTGTTCACCCTGGTAACTTTTCAAAGAACGAAAAAAAGAAAAAAAGAAGTCAAAGGATTTTAATTACGTTAATGATCTTTGATTTACGTCGATGAGACTGTTAGTGTTTTTTTTTTACCTCTTTTTTCTTCTTCCTTTTTAGTTTTTTTTTTTTTTTCTTTTTTTTTCAATCACGATGGTTTCTACGAGTATAATATTTGAAAAAACATATACGGTCAAGTCGGTTCGAATTTAAAATAGAAATTCGAAGAGATAGGTTAGAATTTAATTGGAAATATGTGCACGTAATAATGCTTATAATATGCGACGCATCCATATAACTTCGTATCCACATATATGCAATATTTCCTATAGTATGCAACATATGTATATAACGTAACCTATAATAGATATAGTATAGGGGAATATATGTATTATACGTATAGCGCGGAATACACATACACACACACACACACACATATATATATATATATGTGTGTACATAGAATATAACCTATAAATAAAAAATCCATAAGGCAAAATACAATCAACAATATGAAACATAAATATATAACGAGTAACTTATAATGTCGATATCATTCAACCCTTTCGAATAAAATTGAAAACGAAATGAAACAAAACGAAATAAAAAAGGAAATGGCAAGAAAAAAAAAAAAGAAACAGAAGGACACGCGAAGAGGATAAATTGACTTCCGGCCAGACGCGTGCAACATCGGAAGCGTGTTTAACTGTCGACGGCACGCGAGTTTTCGTATGGTTCGCGTAGTACGCCGGCCTTATTGCGCTCTCTCTCTCTCTCACTCTCCCACTCTCTCTCTCACTCTCCCACTCTCTCTCTCCCTCTGTCATGTATTAGTCGAGAGTGCGAACGAAAACGAACGAAGGAACGTGCTGGTAGAAAACGTGAACCTCTTGAACCTCTTTCACTTCATTACTCTACTCACTCAACCACCCACTCATATTTTTGCTCGGCCGTGCTAATTCCAGCGATCTCGAAATTCCGTTGCATCCGTGCACAAAAATAAACTCTGTGTACGTGCGTGTGTGTGTATGTGTACATTAGTTATATAAAAATTTAGAAAACATAACCTCCAATCTCATATAAATGATAATCGATAAAAATTCATCGATCAATTTTGTAAGAATTCATTAACGAACGAAAAGTACGAATTCATTAACACGAATATATATAAATTTTAATCTTTAAATACTTATCATGGATCGAAATCTTTTTCTTCTTTTTGTATAAAATTTTAAAAAACGTAATTTTCATATTCATATATTTTTCTACCGTACGTGACAATGGGAAATATCAAAATGGCGGCGATGAGGATTACGTGAGCTTTTTAATTGACTTTTCTTTTTTTTTTCTTTTTTCTTTTTTTTCTTTTTTTTTTTTAACAAATGAAAAGAGGGAAAAAGATGTGAATAATATTTTTTCAATGTTTTATAAATGATTTTGATTGCTCCGCTACTGGCAAACGTGTCGTGTTCATCGAAACATTCTCTCTCTCTCTCTCTCTCTCTCTCTCTCTCTCTCTCTCTCTCTCTCTCTCTCTCTCTCTCTCTCTCTCTCTCTCTCTCTCTCTCTGCTCTTCTCTTCTCTTCTCTTCTCTTCTCTTCTCTTCTCTTCTCTCTCTGTCTATCTCATTTCGCCATATGTCTGTCTCCGTTACAAAGCACGTCGCGTCACGAGCGATAAGCGCACGCGATCTCGAGTAGCGCTTCTGTCCTCTTCGTAGTTCCGTGTCGACGCGTTCGATAACGAATGTTGTTGGTTATGTTGCACAAAGCGAAACTTAACTTACACAAACTCTTTCTTATTGACTCGTTTCCTTTGTAAAATTTTTTTCTTTACTCGTTATATCTAAACAAAAAAAAGAAAAAAAAAAAAAAAAAAAAGACTTCCCTGTTCGCCCTCTTCCTTCATAATTTTATCATTCGAATTAATTTTTATTTAAACAAATTGGATATATTTTTTGTTTATATATATATATATGTCCAATATAAATTTATTAATTAATAGAAACAATATTATCATGAAAAATATCACTTCATTTGATTATTGCAGTATTATTCGATTATGCATTTCGCGGGAAAAGCTTTTTGATTGATCGTAGTCAATTGCAGCACTCTCTCTTTCTATTTCTGCTTGATACTTTTATTTCCAAAAGTGCATAATAAATGAAAATAGATAATAACTAATGCTTCTAATCATAAATCATAATTTCTTTCGCATAAATCGAAAAAAAATATATTCCTGCCTCGTGTCGATCTTATTATTGATCGATACGATACAATCAACAAGATATATGGCGTTCATTCGCGATGAAACGTATATAAAAATATATGCATGCATGCATATATGTATATATGTGTGTGTGTATGTGTGTATGTTTATATATCGTAAAACGGGATTATTGACCACGATATATAATAAGGGCTCATAAAAAATCCTTAGCTCATTAGCAATAATATCAGATTGTGATCTTTAGTTAGGAAAAAAAAAGAAAAAGAAAAAAGAAAAAGAAAAGGAAAAGAAAAAAGAAAACAAAACAAAAAATAGAAGAAAAAAAAACCAGCGAATGATTTGCGCTCTGACGCAACTCGAGAGCAAGCTCGACATTAAACTCGTTTCGTTCTTTGACTATCAATAATAGTATCTCGTGTTGTGTAATATTAGAATGTATTATTACTTCATATGATTATTCGTAATCATCGATGGTATGTGTTGTTGTAATCATAACTTTGCATTGCAATTAATTAATTTGAACATTTCTGATTGTTATTTAATTATTACGTTTAACATAGTGCTAGATAAAAAAAGAAGTTCCTAGGTGATTTTCAAAAATCAATTAAAACTCCTTCCCCCTCTCCCCCCATACCATCCTAGTATTCTCCATCTTTATTTCTATTATTTCCAAATCGTCGATAATTATCTTTTCAAAATCTAGAGCACAAGGTTCTGTACGAAGTTATAACAATCGGTAGAGGCAAGCTATATATATATATATATATATATATATATATGTATATATATATTATATATATATATAAATAAAGAAGAAAGAAAGAAAGAAAGAAAAAAATGAACAAGAGAGAAAAGGAACGAAGGAACAAAGAGAACAATGAGAATGTGCGCGCACGCGCGTGCAGATTACATTGGTATGAGTACGTAGGTGTGTTAACTGCACGTGTCAGAAACAGAGAGAGAGAAAGAGAGACACAGTGGGAGGGAGGAAGAGAGAGGAGGAACTAGATGACGTAAGCTTCGATTACACGCCGTTGCATGGCGCGTACGGCGCACGACTGCAAATCGCATTCGCGTCAGCGCGTTCATCGTACACACACGTATCTGTTTTCAGTGCGTGTAAATCTGTCGTTTATCTTCTCTCTCTCTCTCTCTCTCTCTCTCTTTCTCTCTTTCTCTGTTTTTCTTTTTGTAAAACGTATATGTATGCGTGCTTACACGTATGAAGGACGAGGCCTTCAAGCAGGCACGTAACACTCGCGTATCTCTCTTCGCTTCTTCGTGTATCAACCATATATGTATATATATATACATATATATATATGCTGTTAGATTGCCGTCAGCTGACAAGATGAGAACAAGTCTAGAAACAGGAAAAGACCTTCTACTTCTTCTTTGAGATATTACTTTTAAGAGAAATGAGAAGACATGTCCTAAGGAATTTTTCATTCAACTCTTCATGGAAATTAGACGAGAGAGAGAAAGAGAGAGAGAGAGAGAGAGAAAGAGAGAGAGGGGGGTTAACCTAACCAAACTTAAGACATGTTTCATAATTTTACGAAAATTGTGGATATATGTACCTAACCTTACTTTCTAGTTTGAAAAGTAAATGTTTTTATGGTGAACTCGTAGAGACACCTAACCTCACTTTGTTAGTTCGAAAGTTAAACTACAGTCGTAAAACGCAGGAAGAAGATTTCTCTGGAACAAATAAAAGTTAGTAAAGGCCATAGAAATTTCTATGGGAAAATTATTATGACATCAGACTTTACTTTTTCTCTCTCTCTCTCTCTCTTTCTTTTTTCTTTACTTTGAAAATTAAACGTTTACAAAACTTTGGATTAAAGTTTTGGTTTGTTTATGAACTATAGAAAGAATATCTTTTTGGTCATGCAATAATAAATCGAGATATTAATTTAGATTAAAGTTCTAAACGAATTTTAGAACTTTTAATTATGAATAAATAGAACTTTTAACAATTTTAAATTGGATTGAGTTGCGAATTTGAAAAACTTCGTTGCAAATAAACAGAAACAAAATAATTTTCAAATGGGATTACGATTCTTTGACGTTTATAAATTATGAAAATAATAGATTAGAGAGAGAGAAAAAAAAAAGAAGAAAGAAAATAAATAAAAAAACGTTAGGATAATGTATATGGATTAAATGCAACGATAATATAAAAATGAAGATCGCTTATAAAGTAAGAAGTAAAAAACTAAAGATAGGAATAAATTTTCATTATGAACGGCAAAATCTGATTGACGATGACGTTGTCGAATGATTTCCTGTTAGACATAAACCTGTAAATCTGCAGGTGACGCCCGTCCCTCATGGATGTACGAATCCTTTCTCCCTTTCCCTTCCCCAACCCTCTCCTTCACTTTCTTCCACGAAGGAAAACAATTACTATTGGAGGAACGGACGACGATGAGAACGACGATGAAAACGACGATGAGAACGACAACTACGAAGACGACAATGATGACGGTGGTAAAACAGCTGTCGCCTTGACCTTACTCAATACGCTTCTCGCCACGATATATCGTGACTGCCATTTCTTCACGTTCTCTTTCTCAGTCGATGTATAAATCCGCTTTAAACGACTTTACTCTCTATGAAACCTCGATATATAACGTTGAAAATAAATTCCGCAGTTAATCCTCGTAGTAAAGGGATAAATCACAAACGTGTCGAATTTAATTGATTCCTATGTATGTATGTATGTATGTATGTATGTATGTATGTATGTATGTATGTATGTATGTATGTATATATGTATGTATGTATAATGTGTGTGTGTGTGTGTGTGTGTGTATACAGCAACCACCAACCAACCTGTTGCACATCATACTCCCTCCTGTCCTAATAAATAATAAAAGTAAAAACTCTTCAATATTTGTCATGTACCAACCAAACGTCATCGTGGAATTTAAAAGGAAAAAGAAGAAAAAAAAAAAAAAAAGAAAAAAGAGAAAGAAGACAGGAAAAAAGATAAATCTAAAAGAGGAATACTACCAAGCGCACGCACAATATCATGATAAATAATATCAAATTAAAGCTTAATAACTTTTAAACATTATTCATATTCCCAATCAACTAACCAACCAACCTGATCACGTTATTCTCGAAAACAAGTAATGAAGAAAGGGGAAAAAAAAATAAGAGAGGAAAATAAGTTAAAATAAGATCGTTTGTGTATCATACCACAAAGATGTCCTAATAAATAATACAAATCAAAATTCTTAAACTTTTTTTCTCAACATTGTTCATATCCTAACTTAAAGGATTATCAAGGTATTCTAAAAAACAAGACGTTGAAAAGAAAAAAGAAAGAGAAGAAGATAGAAGAGAGAGAGATAGAGAGAGAGAGAGAGAGAGAGAGAGAAAAAGAAAAATAAGAGTGTGCAGGCCCTAAGCAAAGTTAGGATTCGTATGGGAGGGGTATGCGGGGGAGTATAGGGGCGCCATTCGAGGGAGGGCTGTTGAACTTTCAGGGTCACTCCCGTGGGCCTTTGCGAACGGAAGATAGAAAGGCAAAAGGAGAGAAAAAGAAAGAAAGAAAGAAAGAAAGAAAGGAAGAAAGAAAGAAAGAGAAGAGAAGCTGGACACGAAAACTCACTCCTAAAACCGTCTAACGATGTGCCCTCTGTGTTGGATTGGGTCTGTATAGAAGTAAGAAGTAGTAGGGGTAAAGGTAGGCATAGGCTTGGGATGAGGTGAGGTGAGGTGAAGCAGGGTGAGGGATGAGGGATAGGGGGAGATATTCGAGGGCCAAGGATCCGCACATAGAAAGAAGAAAAGAAAGAGAGAGAGGGAGAGAGAGAGAGAGAGAGAGAGAGAGAGAGAGAAGAAGAGGTCTGGCAATTCGTCGTTTCTCTTTTAGGCCCTCTTTTGCTTTTGGCTTCTTCTTCTTCTTCTATCTTTCTTCCTTGCTTTGCACTTCTCATTTTGCTGTTGCTGTAGTAGTAAACGACCAATGAAAAGATAAATAGATAGATAGAAAGAGAAAGAGAAAGAGAAAGAGAAAGAGAGAGAGAGAGAGAGAGAGGAAGAGTCAAGACGACAACGACACGACGACGACGACGACGACGACGACACGACGAAGTCGAAGATGGTCGATGTAGCTCAGGAAAGTGCAACGACAGGGGAACCAGTTTTAGGAGCCAAGAAAGGATCGTTTTCTTCGCATGGGCTTCGACGAAACCCTTTCTTGACACGTCCTACAAAAAGGAAGGACTCTTACCTCATCAAAGCTACACTTTCTGTCCTTCTGTCTGTCTGTTTTAATCTAGTCTGTCTGTCTAACTATTAGTCACTGATGATATGGGAGTAGTCTCTCTAACTCGAAAGGGTTAAGGAGATCACGTGAAGAAGAATATATATATATATATATATACATAGAGACAGAGAGAGAGAGAGAGAGAGAGAGAGAGAGAGAGAGAGAGAGAAAGAGAGGGAGAGAGTGGGGGAGGAGGTAGGTTCGAGTCTTTCTCAGTCGAGGATAGTGAACTCTCATGGCCATTCCGTGGCTTTCCTCGGAACCGGCAAAACCTCGGGCTCCTCGACATAATACAACGATTTAGATGCGCGAAAGAGAGAGAGAGAGAGAGAGAGAGAGAGAGAGAGAGAGAGAGAGAGAACTAGAAAAAAAGGAGGAAGAGGATAGAACTGAGTTATCTGTATTTTCTCTGAGCGAGAAAAGGAGCAACGTTTCATGGTACTTCTAGAGATATATCATGGAAAAAGAAGAATCATCGTCGTCGAGTTTCTCGTTGACGTATATATATGCATGTATGCATATATGTATGTATATATATACATACATACGTACCTACGTGTGTGTGTGTGTGTGTGTGTACATAGTCGACGATTTTGTTTCTCTGTATCTTTTATGTCTTCTTTATTTCCTTTATCCTTCTTTTTTTTTCATTTTTTAATTTTCTTTTCGTTAAAAATATGAAATCATCTTTTTTCCCTTGTTTTCTTTCATCTTTTATTATTTTTCTTTTTCTTATTCTTTATTCTGTTAATCCTCTATTTTTCCTCTCACGTAACATCGAATTTAATTTCGATCATGTAAAAGGTCAGTTGGAAAAATTTGGAATATCATATAATATGCGAGATTAACGAAAGATAAGAACAACAACAACAACAACAACAACAATGGTAACGACCTTATATGCTATTTTCTATTCTAAATCAGCATCACCATTATTATTATCATTATTATCATTATTATCATTATTTACTTCCATAAATATCAATCAAGAATTTATGAAATAAAAAAAAAAAAAAAAAAAAAAAACGAAACTGTGAAAATTATCTCTCTCCCTTTCTTTCTCTCCCTTGTAGGATGAAAATAAGGTGGAATAAAAAAGCCGAACGAAAAAGAAGCTTGGAGGAGTATAGAATAGTAAGCTTGGGTTGAACGACCTAGCAGAGAGTATCTCTATCTAGTACCTGTATCATCTGGCTCTCTTCTCTCCGGCAGAAAGCGTGCGCGTGTATGTGTATATATATATATGTATGTACTTGTGATTAACTGTGCGTGGAAGCGCATACATATATACATATTATATATATATATATATATATATATATATATATATATACACATATATACATATATAGACATATACGTAGATACAGTCTATTCTCTCACCGATTATACACAAGCGTATATAAACGTAACCCTTCACGCACGTTATAAAACTAGTTTCGCGTGCGGATTACTCCTATGGGATATCGCACCGTCTATATTTTACTAGTGTCAAGGAACGAACGGAATTATTTGAACTTTGTCGATTAATTCTGAGATCTTAATGTGTTTGTATGTATGTATGTATGTGTGTTTATCTATATTTATATATATATATATGTATATATAAATAGAAATAAATTATATATTATGTAAAGGATGGACCAAGAATTATACAGGTGATTTAAAAATTTTTAAATTAACTTCCTCTTTTTTCTTCTTTTACCAAATTCTAAAACTATAAGACCCTATATAGAAACCAAAGATACAAACTGATTAAATCTCAAGAGAAAATAATTGATTTTTAAAATAGAAACTTTGATCCACTCTGTACACACACACACACACACATATATATATATATTTATATTTTGTTTATTGTTTTTATTGTTATTCTTTTTTAAGATAATGTTTATAAGGATAACACAGAGTAGAGGTACTTGGTGTCATCGATCCCATTGCGTCGAGGGAAAAAGAGCAGGGGCAGTGATCTTCGACTCGTTCGACAACATCGCGGCATTGCCCGAATGCCATGGTCACTGACCGTGAAATCAGGAATTTCAATTCTGTACTGTACCGGCTTGCCGCCTCTATCATTCTATATATACATATATATATATATATATATATATATATATACTCATGTATATATATACATGTACAATCCTATCTCGTGGTTTTTAACATTTTGTATTTGAATTTTATAAAGGTACCCGCGCGTGGGAAATAAAAAAAAATCCAAATATCATATATATTCTTCTTATTGTTTCCAAAACTGTATATGCGTGAGCATATCTATGTTTCTATTGTACATAACCCTCCCTTGTTATTGTTTCGAACTTCGTCAAGCTTGAATTTAACGATTTTATTCGCTCAAAGCGCGGGAAATTTTTCTATTAGATTTAATCGCATTCGTTTATTTCATAACCATTTTCTTTTATTACTATAACCTTCTCTGATTGGTCAACGACGAAAATAAAAGAAAGATGGCGACATAAGAGATGAAGAAACGATATATCTGTATGTATTGCGTGAAAAAGAGAGAGAGAGAGAGAGAGAGAGAGAAAGGGGGCCGATTAGATTCTATTTTTGTAATAGAGTAATTACGGAGTGATAATTAACGCGGCCAGGTCGCAAGCGAGTTGCAACAAGGCAAAGCGGGTTGCTTCGAACCAACGCGAACGTACAAAATATACACATGGACGAACATACAACACACAAATACACATACACACACACAAAGGATTGTGATATATACACACTCGTGACCTAGTTTTTCAGCTGTTAGCAATATATACACTTGTAGAGAGAGAGAAAGAGACAGAGAGAGAGATAGAGAGAGAGAGAGAGAGAGAGAGAGAGAGAGAGAGAGAGAGAAAGAGAGAGAGTAATGCGCTGAGCGCGACATTCTTCAACAACCTTTCGCGCATTATCATCCAACTCCGGCATTTATGAGACTTGTTGCATTGACCTACTATACACGGCAATCTGACAATTCCAATTCGCATATTGTTTCGACACTTTCTTTCTTTCTTTTTTTCCCCCCACCCCTCTTTTTTCGCATGGAATTATACATATCATAATCTCTTTTGCACACGCTCCAATCACGGAAAACAATTCCTTTAATTATAATTCAACATTGGCCAATATATTTTTATCAACGACAATGAAATATTTACGATTTTCAAAAATCGTTTTGTTAGATGTCTGTTATAAATTTTAATAATAATGAGTTAATTTCATCATTCTCCATTATCGTGATTAATCAAAATTTAATGTTAAGTCTCTATTATCACACACACACATCGAATATAATATATATATATATATATTTATTTATTAAATGGTGCCGTTTAAAAGAGAGATTAAAAACGGGACGAACGAAAAGGATTAAAGAGAGAATAAGAAAGCGGAAATTGTAAAGAAAGTAGAAACTAAATAGGAAGAAGAGAAAGAAAGACAGGAAAAACAGGAAAGACAGGAAGGAAGGAAGGAAGGAAGGAAGGAAGGAAGGAAGGAAGGAAGGAAGGAAGGAAGAAAGGGCCGTCGTAGTACCTTCCTTGCGCGCACACGGCGCTTGCTCGTTTAAGGGTCAAAGGACGAGGGTATAGGACGAGGGAGGAGAAGAGGAAGAACCCGTCGTCGTTGTCGTCCTCGTCCTCCTCGTTCTCCTCGAGGCATCGATCGAGCCCAGTCGCCAAAAATTTCACGCCCAGACTGCTTTCTCTCGCTATCTCTCTCTCCCCCTTCTTCTCCCTTTCTCTCCTTCTCTAATTCAACCACCGAAAACCGAAGCACTGTTCGTGCGCGCCCTCCCGCGATCATCCACGAAGGGAACAACGTCGTACATACATTATACGTGTACATATATATATATATATACATATATATATATATATACACAGACATAACACACACATATATATATGCATAAATAATATGTGTACATACGTTACACGTTACGAATAAGAACGAGAAAATCCTCTACGGTCACGCGATAACCACCACGTGAGAATCTTTCGACGTCGATCACCGATCGTTTCGATACGAATGGCGGAAAAAAGAGAAAAAGAAAGAAAGAAAGAAAGAAAGAAAACAATATTTCCTTTTCCTTTCCCTTTCTTCTTGTTGTTTCCCCGTCACTCCTCTTTTTTCTTTTCCATTCCTTTCCTTTTCTTTCTTTTCATTAATCAAGTCAATTGATTCAAATTCGACAAAATTCAAACACACAAAGGGAACGAATTCATTTCAAATTAATAATTCGTAAAAAGTCAATTCTATTGGGGAAATATAATTAAGAAATATTAAAATAAACTTACCATTGAAATTATCCACGACGGAGACGGGGGGTGTGTGAGGGGATGGACGATAAGAATTAGAAAGATCTTAATAATCCAATATTTCGCCGTCCGGATTTAGATGATGATCAATCACAGCAATGAAAAGGAAGAACGCATGGATGGGAAAAGAGATGATAGATGGATAGAAAGAGAGAAAGAGAGAAAGAGAGAAAGAGGAGATTAGGAGAGAGGGGGAGGGAGAGGAGAGGACAATTGGGGGCGGTTGCACACTAGATAGACATCACTCTCGATCATCCACACGCGCACAGCTCGCGACCTGTCGATGGACGGACGCTGGGCGTCGATCCTCGCGACCGGAACGACGCCGCGTTTACGGTGCTAATACCACGCTCGAGAACACCTATGTATATATGTATATATATATATATATATGTCCGTTCACTCGACAATAACGACAAAGAGACCAGGACAGTGATCTCTTCTTCCTCCTCCTCCTCCTCCTCTTCTTCTTCTCTTCTTTTTCTTCTTCTTCTTTCTCCTCCACCTCCTCCTCTTCTTCTGTAGAATACAATCTTACTCGTTATGACAGTCCTAAGATCATTTCGGCACCATCATCAACATGACACATCAAACACCACTATAAAACACCAAAAAGAAGACGGACACCAATATCGTCGTTATTTCCGTTATACCGCGTTCACGCACTATTGCGGCGACGTTGCTGCTGTATTTTTTTTCTTTTTTCCCCTTATTTTACTTTCTTTCCTTTCCTTCCTTTTTCTTTTTCTCCGCCTTATTTATTCTATTTTATTTTTTTTTTTACTTTCGACTACACCGCTTTGTTATCATAAAAGATGGAACACATGACATTCTCTCTCTCTCTCTCGATAGTATCGAAATGTCGTAGATTACAAATTGATGATAATAACATACATTTATGTAATATTATGTTATATTATGTATTATCTCTCTGTATATATATATATATATATATATATATATTATATATATTATATATATAGAAAGAGAGAGAGATATTGTATATAGATATACTACTAATGGCAGTGTTGAAGCAAGGAAAAAAGGCGAGCTGTGCGCGCTAAGAGAGGCACCTTCCCCCCGCGAAGGTTCTCACGCGACTGACGCGACGACGACCGGAACGACGGTGGCCGCACGGAGTAACTAAGAGTGGGGGTGGGGGCGCTAGAAATTCCGTAAGAGTGGGGATAGCTAGAGCCATGCCGCGGCGTCCCCAGTCGTTGTCAGTGTGGGGAGACGGCACGCTGAAGGGAAACGCGCGCTCCTCTCCTTCGTGTCGACAGAAGAAGGTGAGGAGAAGGAGGAGAAGGAAGGAAGGACGGACCGACCGATGGATGGACGGACGGACGGATGGATGGACGAACGGATGGACGGACGCGATTGGGGAACCGCGCGTGCGCAATGGCCCTGTTTTACAGACGCATCGTGACAATCGCGCTCGAGCCACCGCCCGATGCATCCATCCTTTGCGTTCGTTCGTCCTTTTACCCTCCTCTAACACACAACGACGACGACGACGACGACGACGACGACGACGACGACGACGACGGTGACGACGAATAAGCCAACTTCTTTTCTACCTACCTGCCTTTTGTCACGTACACCAAACTTTTTACATTACAAACTTCTATAATCTATTCCTTGAATCTTTTGCGTTTTAAGTAAACGTTCTTTCGAATAAATATTAATCATAATTTCATCGTTTATTCCAATCTATCTTTTGCTTTTATTATTCTTTTTCTTATTTTTTATTGATGGTATTTTTCTTCAGGTATAATTTGTAATATATATATATATATGTGTGTGTGTGTGTGTGTGTGTGTGTGTGTGTGCGTATGTATGTGAATATAAATTAAT